TTACCTGTGAACACACTTGGGTATTGATAGAGTGCAGTGCGTTACCTGTGAACACACCTGGGTATTGACAGTATGCAGTGCATTAACTGTGAACACACTTGAGTATTGACAGTGTGCAGTGTGTTACCTGTGAACACACTGGGGTATTCACAGTGTGCTGTGTGTTACCTGTGAACACACCTGGGTATTGACAGTGTGCAGTGTGTTACCTGTGAACACACTTGGGTATTGACAGAGTGCAGTGCGTTACTTGTGAACACACCTGGGTATTGAGAGTGTGCAGTGCGTTACCTGTGAACACACCTGGGTATTGACAGTGTGCAGTGCGTTACCTGTGAACACACTGGGGTATTCAAAGTGTGCTGTGTGTTACCTGTGAACACATTTGAGTATTGACAGTGTGCAGTGCGTTACCTGTGAACACACCTGGGTATTGACAGAGTGCAGTGCGTTACCTGTGAACACACCTGGGTATTGACAGAGTGCAGTGCGTTACCTGTGAACACACCTGGGTATTGACAGTGTGCAGTGCATTACCTGTGAACACACTTGAGTATTGACAGTGTGCAGTGTGTTACCTGTGAACACACTTGGGTATTGACAGTGTGCAGTGCGTTACCTGTGAACACACCTGGGTATTGACAGTGTGCAGTGCATTACCTGTGAACACACTTGAGTATTGACAGTGTGCAGTGTGTTACCTGTGAACACACCTGGGTATTGACAGAGTGCAGTGCGTTACCTGTGAACACACCTGGGTATTGACAGCGTGCAGCGCGTTACCTGTGAACACACTTGAGTATTTACAGTGTGCAGTGTGTTGCCTGTGAACACACCTGGGTATTCAGAGTGTGCAGTGTGTTACCTGTGAACACACCTGGGTATTGACAGTGTGCTGTGTTACCTGTGAAGACACCTGGGTATTGACAGCGTGCAGCGCGTTACCTGTGAACACACTCGGCTATTCACACATTCCCAGGTGGAGGTGTAATTACCCAAGATTCCTCCGACGCCACACAACGTCCACCCTTTACACGTTCACCAATCTTACCGTCAACATTGATTCAAATGAACATTCTCTTGCACTTCATAGCATTATTATCAATGGTATTATTATTGGGCATCATCTATGTAAAAAGTAGCTACAAATGTATTGCCCGTACTCTAACATACAGTTGGAGCTGTGGCTATAAACCCAGTGACCTCAGCTTCATTATAATTTATTTACAATTTAATGTAACTAATAACCGTGTATTGTTGTTATTTTGTATACTTCTTATAGTGTTACTAGTAAACTCTAAATGTATTGCTGTGACGCTTGAAATGATAAAATATCGGCCCTTTAACTTAACAGGTGACCTTTTGTAAACCATTGGAAGGATCCGTGTTCAATTCTGGTGTTAGGCCACGTGGCAATTTTATACCAAAATGTAAATATACTGTCGCTAACCGTCCACTAAAACCAAAGATCTTTAGTTGCAGGATCTAACTTGGGTCGCCTTGTTCAAAGCGCAGCGCGCTAACCGCGTGACTTAGCTCTGCTCTGCTCTCTACATAGAGATCTCTGCTCTCTACTTAGAGAGATCTGCCCTCTACATAGAGATCTCTGCTGTATACTTAGAGAGATCTGCTCTGCCCTCTACATAGAGAGATCTGCTCTCATTCTCTCTCTCTCTACACTGTAGTCTATCTGTGTCACTTTCTCTCTCTACACCGTAGTCTATCTGTGTCACATTGTCTTTACACCGTAGTCTATCTGTGTCACATTGTCTCTCTCTCTCTACACCGTAGTCTATCTGTGTCACATTCTCTCTCTCTCTCTCTACACCGTAGTCTATCTGTGTCACATTGTCTCTCTCTACACCGTAGTCTATCTGTGTCTCATTCTCACTCTCTACACCGTAGTCTATCTGTGTCACATTGTCTCTCTCTACACCGTAGTCTATCTGTGTCACATTCTCTCGAGACCGTAGTCTATCTGTGTCACATTGTCTCTCTCTACACCGTAGTCTATCTGTGTCACATTGCCTCTCTCTCTACACCGTAGTCTATCTGTGTCACATTCTGTCTCTCTCTACACCGTAGTCTATCTGTGTCACATTCTCTCTCTACACCGTAGTCTATCTGTGTCACATTGGCTCTCTCTCTCTCTACACCGTAGTCTATCTGTGTCACATTGTCTCTACACCGTAGTCTATCTGTGTCACATTGTCTCTCTCTGTCTCTACACCGTAGTCTATCTGTGTCACATTGTCTCTCTCTACACCGTAGTCTATCTGTGTCACATTGTCTCTACACCGTAGTCTATCTGTGTCACATTCTCTCTCTCTCTACACCGTAGTCTATCTGTGTCACATTCTCTCTCTCTCTACACCGTAGTCTATCTGTGTCACATTGTCTCTCTCTCTCTACACCGTAGTCTATCTGTGTCACATTGTCTCTCTCTACACCGTAGTCTATCTGTGTCACATTCTCTCTACACCGTAGTCTATCTGTGTCACATTGTCTCTCTCTCTCTACACCGTAGTCTATCTGTGTCACATTGTCTCTGTCTACACCGTAGTCTATCTGTGTCACATTGTCTCTCTCTACACCGTAGTCTATCTGTGTCACATTCTCTCTACACCGTAGTCTATCTGTGTCACATTGTCTCTCTCTCTCTACACCGTAGTCTATCTGTGTCACATTGTCTCTCTCTACACCGTTGTCTATCTGTGTCCCATTCTCTCTCTCTCTCTACACCGTAGTCTATCTGTGTCCCATTCTCTCTCTCTCTACACCGTAGTCTATCTGTGTCACATTCTCTCTCTCTCTCTACACCGTAGTCTATCTGTGTCACATTGTCTCTACACCGTAGTCTATCTGTGTCACATTGTCTCTACACCGTAGTCTATCTGTGTCACATTGCCTCTCTCTCTCTACACCGTAGTCTATCTGTGTTACATTGTCTCTCTCTACACCGTAGTCTATCTGTGTCACATTCTCTCTCTCTACACCGTAGTCTATCTGTGTCACATTGTCTCTCTCTCTACACCGTAGTCTATCTGTGTCACATTCTCTCTCTCTCTGCACCGTAGTCTATCTGTGTCACATTCTCTCTCTCTACACCGTAGTCTATCTGTGTCACATTGTCTCTCTCTCTCTCTACACCGTAGTCTATCTGTGTCACATTCTCTCTCTCTCTCTCTACACCGTAGTCTATCTGTGTCACATTCTCTCTCTCTACACCGTAGTCTATCTGTGTCACATTGTCTCTCTCTACACCGTAGTCTATCTGTGTCACATTGTCTCTCTCTACACCGTAGTCTATCTGTGTCACATTGTCTCTCTCTACACCGTAGTCTATCTGTGTCACATTGTCTCTCTCTACACCGTAGTCTATCTGTGTCACATTCTCTCTACACCGTAGTCTATCTGTGTCACATTGTCTCTCTCTCTCTACACCGTAGTCTATCTGTGTCACATTCTCTTTACACCGTAGTCTCTCTGTGTTACATTGTCTCTACACCGTAGTCTATCTGTGTCACATTGTCTCTCTCTACACCGTAGTCTATCTGTGTCACATTCTCTCTACACCGTAGTCTATCTGTGTCACATTCTCTCTCTCTCTCTCTCTACACCGTAGTCTATCTGTGTCACATTGTCTCTACACCGTAGTCTATCTGTGTCACATTGTCTCTCTCTACACCGTTGTCTATCTGTGTCACATTGTCTCTCTCTACACCGTAGTCTATCTGTGTCACATTCTCTCTACACCGTAGTCTATCTGTGTCACATTGTCTCTCTCTCTCTCTACACCGTAGTCTATCTGTGTCACATTGTCTCTCTCTACACCGTAGTCTATCTGTGTCACATTCTCTCTGTCTACACCGTAGTCTATCTGTGTCACATTGTCTCTCTCTACACCGTTGTCTATCTGTGTCACATTGTCTCTCTCTCTACACCGTAGTCTATCTGTGTCACATTGTCTCTCTCTCTCTACACCGTAGTCTATCTGTGTCACATTGTCTCTCTCTACACCGTAGTCTATCTGTGTCACATTGTCTCTCTCTACACCGTAGTCTATCTGTGTCACATTGTCTCTCTCTCTCTCTCTACACCGTAGTCTATCTGTGTCACATTGCCTCTCTCTCTACACCGTAGTCTATCTGTGTCACATTCTCTCTACACCGTAGTCTATCTGTGTCACATTCTCTCTCTACACCGTTGTCTATCTGTGTCACATTGTCTCTCTCTACACCGTAGTCTATCTGTGTCACATTGTCTCTCTCTACACCGTAGTCTATCTGTGTCACATTGTCTCTTTCTCTCTACACCGTAGTCTATCTGTGTCACATTCTCTCCCTCTCTACACCATAGTCTATCTGTGTGTAGTCACGAAAGCTTTAAATCGAAATTGATCTGTGTGTACTAACGTGTGTGCGTGTGTGTGCGTGTACTAACGTGTGTGCGTGTGTGTGCGTGTACTAACGTGTGTGCGTGTGTATGCGTGTACTAACGTGTGTGCGTGTACTACCGTGTGTGCGTGTACTAACGTGTGTGCGTGTACTACCGTGTGTGCGTGCACTACCGTGTGTGCTTATACTAACGTGTGTGCGTGTGTGTGCGTGCACTTCCGTGTGTGCGTGTGTGTGCGTGTACTAACGTGTGTGTGTGTGTGTACTAACGTGTGTGCGTGTACTATCGTGTGTGCGTGCACTTCCGTGTGTGCGTGTGTGTGCGTGTACTAACGTGTGCTGGCCACCCACCTCTACGTGTGCCGTTCCGGCCTTCACAGGAACTCGCTGAACAGCACTTGCCCCAACAGTCTGTTAAAGGCCATATGGGGGAGTGGGTATTTGGTATTAACATCTACCCGTCATCAGGTGATCACCTTCGTGACTTCACCGAAAGAACCAAAGAGTATGGATTCCTGCAGTCACGAAAGCTTCATATCAAGACACCACCAGCCCTGTCTAAAGGCGACACGGGGGATCGTTGTCTTTGTGTGACGCGCGCAGGTCTTCAGCGCGCAGTACAACCTCACGAGGCACATGCCCGTGCACACGGGCGCACGGCCCTTCGTGTGCAAGGTTTGCGGCAAGGGCTTCCGCCAGGCGAGCACGCTGTGCAGACACAAGATCATCCACACGCAGGTGCGCGCTCCACGTGTGTGTGTGTCAGTGTGTGTGTCACTGTGTGTGTCAGTGTGTGTGTCACTGTGTGTGTCACTGTGTGTCAGTGTGTGTGTGTGTGTCACTGTGTGTGTGTCAGTGGCCTCCATAGGTGCTCGCTAACAGCACTTGCCCCTACAGTCTGTCAAGGCTACACGGGGGATATTTGTCTTTGTGTGGAATGAGTGGTAGCGTCGTGGTTAGCGCGCTGCGCTTGGGCCGCTTTTTATCGGCTTGAGCGTCACCCTCCGAATAAAATTGAGCGTCCTTCAAAAGCTGCAGACACGAAGCGAGAACAATTAAACATTTTCACGGTGTCTGTCGTCACTCGTCATAATGTGGTGTCTGAATGTCTCTACGTTGCGAGATGTTAACTACCTCCCTGGTATACAGAAGGTCATGGGTTCTCTCTCCCCGTGGTCGCGTGGATTTTTCTCCGGGTCCTCTGGTTTTCCCCTCCACATTTAGAATCAACATCACGCGCTTAGAGTGTTTGGCTGCTTTAAATGTCCACGCGATGATGATGAGCCACTTCGTTGGGCTATCATTTGTGAGTGCCAAGTCGCTTCTGAATAAGAGTCTATAGCTCAGTGGGCCCTGCCTGGTGAAATGAAACAATTAGTTTCGTTTAGAATCGACCGCGTATGTTCTTCACGTCGACGTCTGGAGCCCCTCGATGGCACCGAGAGAGGCCACCGTGGTGGGTAGTCACCGTGGGTCGCCACGTGGGTAGCCACGTGGTGGCTAGTCACCGTGGGTCGCCACGTGGTGGCTAGTCACCGTGGGTAGCCACGTGGTGGGTAGTCACCGTGGGTCGCCACGTGGGTAGCCACGTGGTGGCTAGTCACCGTGGGTAGCCACGTGGGTAGCCACGTGGTGGGTAGTCACCGTGGGTAGCCACGTGGGTAGCCACGTGGTGGGTAGTCACCGTGGGTCGCCGCGTGGTGGGTAGTCACCGTGGGTAGCCACGTGGTGGGTAGTCACCGTGGGTAGCCACGTGGTGGGTAGTCACCGTGGGTAGCCACGTGGTGGGTAGTCACCGTGGGTCGCCACGTGGGTAGCCACGTGGTGGGTAGTCACCGTGGGTAGCCACGTGGTGGGTAGTCACGTGGTGGGTAGTCACCGTGGGTAGCCACGTGGTGGGTAGTCACCGTGGGTCGCCACGTGGGTAGCCACGTGGTGGGTCGCTGGCTCACGGCCCGGGCAGCGTCAGATGCCCCACGCGGGGGTCGATCGCCCGGACACGACGAGATGAGGGAATTCTGAACATGTTTAACAAACACATGTTTAAACACATTTGTTTGATTTCACTATCATTAATTTCACGTATTCATATAAAATAAAAGTTTATGTTTTATGTATTTAATTACAATCGTCATGTATTTTTAAAAGGCTATAAGCATAGTAGAATATGCTGATTATTTAACCAACACATGTTTTATTTTTTTTTAGTTTTCTTACTTAACGTATTCACTTGCATGTATTCACGTAAATGAAAGTAATTTTGAACGTGTTATTACAATCGCAATAGCTTTTGAGAGGCTAAGCACTATATTAAGTAGAGTGTTTCCATATAACCCTTCACCTCCTCAACACAACAAGTGACATGGGATGGGGTAGCCAGGGCCTCCGGTACAGAGGTCACTCGCCGTGGGTCGAGAGTTGAACTCGCGTCGTCGGGTCCAGCATCTACAGCACGCACGACGCTAACCACAGTGGCGTCGCCCCTCCTCCCCGTCGCGATTATATTCGCGAGCACGCATCAACGGCACGACACGCACACGAAATAGTGAACTACGTGATACATTTAGAAAGGTTACCTACTCGAAACGTCGGGATGTTCATTTCTTCTCACGGCGGCAGCTACACACCGCGTTATGAAAGTCCAGCGTGTTACACGCTTGCAGCAAGTACTGTTAGTAATCACAAGCACACAACGGCAAAGATGCCCCGTGTAGCCTGGTACAGACTGTCGGGGCAAGTGCTGTTAGCGAGTAGCACCTACGAAGGCCGGCACTGTGGCACACGAGGGGGTGGGTGGCCAGCACCACGCCCGGCCGCCTTTGTCTCCCTCGTGACGATGTTCACAGACCGCACCAGGTGCGCACTTCAGGCTGAGTCGACCTAGGGTAGGCTCAGGACCGGTTCAAATAAGCGGCTTTTATTGATCGTGATCGGGAATTGAACTCGGGTGGCCGGGTTCGTAGCGCAGCGTGCTAACCATTGCGTATCCAGTACGATATACAACACACATATACATAGTACCCACACACACACACGTGTGCACATATACATACAGCACACACACACACGTGTACACACACATGTGTACACATATAGATACAGCTCACACACACACGTGTACCCATATACATTCTGCACAAACATGCATGTACACATAAGTTCAGCACACACACGTGTACACATATAGCACACACACGTGTTCACACACACACACGTGTACACGCACACGTGTACACACACGTGTACACACACACACGTGTACACATACATACAGCACACACACGTGTTCACTCACACACACGTGTACACACACACGTGTACACACACGTGTACACACACACACGTGTACACATATACATACAGCACACACACGTGTTCACACACACACGTGTACACACACACGTGTACACCCACGTGTACACACGCACGTGTACACATATACATACAGCACACACGTGTACACACACACGTGTACACACTCACGTGTTCACACTTTCAAAGATAAAGACAAAGATCCCCCGTATAGCCTTAACAGACTGTAGGGGCAAGTGCTGTTAGCGAGCAGCACCTATGAAGGCCGGCACGGCACACGAGAGGGTGGGTGGCCAGCACCACGCCCGGCCGCCTTTGTCTCCCCAGTGGCGATGTTTACACACCGCAGCAGCTACTCATTTGAGGGCGAGTCGATGTACACCCCCATACGTATACATGCGGAGGAAGATTCACCCTTCAGCCGCATGATTCTAAATGGGTGTTAGCGAGCACCTCTCACCACCACTCCGATACACCTCACAAGGGAGGGGTGGCGCAGTGGTTAGCGCACTGCGTGAAGTATGAACAGCGGGAACCTGAGTGCGACTCCCGGGACACGGCTAACATCAGTGGCAGCGAGTGGTGTCTGAACCGGTACTGCCACTCCCACCAACCCGCAATGACCAACGGGGTGAAGTATGGTTAGAACAACCCCCGATCACCACACGGCATGGGGAGGCAGTCATCCAGCAGTGGATTGCCCATGCCTGACGATGAGTGAATTTAATTGCGATTGGCTGCAACAGTTTATGATCAATAAAAGCCGCACACGATCTCGACCAGCGAAGTCTGCGTGTGTTTGTGTGAATGATGCGGTCGTGGAGCGGCGACCGCGCTGCGCTACGAACCCTGGCGACCCGGGTTCGACTCGCAGTCACCAAGGACAGGGACGATTCTCTGGACCGGTTTGGGGTCTCATCCCCCAGGTCGATTCGGCCGCAAATCAAGTACGTGGTGCAGCGATGTAAACATCAGCACTGGGGAGACAAAGGCGTCGGGGCGTGGCTGTCCACACCAACCCCCTCGTGTAGCAGTCCCGGCCTTTCTAGGCGCACGTTGACAGCACTTGCCATGTGCACAAGGCTGGAGCGGGCATCTTGGTCTGTTACATTAATTACCAACGTGTTTTGAGCCCAACTTGAAGCAATCATTAATGAGTCAACTTTTGGCTGCGACGAACAGCACACGACGAGCGGTTGTATAATTGATGGCTCACAGCTGAGATGCATCTTGCACATTATTTAGGAAGGAACCGTGCCTTATGTTTGGAACTCATGAACAACACATTCAGCAGAGAAGTCACGCTTTTCCTGAGTAAGATACGAGTGAGACGTGAGACCGTGTGTGCGTGTGTGTCTTAGTTAGCTGTCGCCACTGACGAGTCAAATGAGGCCGAGCGTGATGCCGGCCTTCATAGGTGCTGCTACTCGCTGGTAGCACTTGCCCCCAACAGTGTGTCGAGGCTACACGGGGGATCTTTGTATTGTGTGTGTCTCTCTCTCTCTCTCTTGGCGTGTGAAGGAGAAGCCACACAAGTGTCAGCACTGCGGGAAGGCCTTCAACAGGAGCTCCACGCTCAACACGCACATCCGCATCCACTCGGGGTACAAGCCCTTCGTGTGCGAGTTCTGCGGAAAGGGCTTCCATCAGAAAGGTGAGTTCCCTCTCCTCCTCCGCCACCTCGTCGTCGTGTTAGACGTCACAAGAGGTAGAAGATCCTGTAACGCGCGTGCAGATTTCCTCCAGGTCGGAGGTGCGGGAGCCACTAAAGGGCTGGCGGGGAGGGGCATCATCAAGAGTTGCCCACGCTCTGCGGTCCTACATTGGGTTGCTTGGCCACGAAGTGAGCGTTTTATACCACGTGGCAGGGAGAAAATCCACGCGTCCGACGGGGCCTGGGAGGGTAACATTCAGTCGCCGTGTAGATGGAAACAGATGGAGATTAATCCCACTGTCTGTACACTACTGCCATCTCCTGGCAGTGAGATGACAGTACAGTATTGTACAGTACAGTGTTTTACAGTACAGTATTTTACAGTACAGTATTTTACCACACTGGTCGGTGCCGGATGGAGAAGCGGGCCCAAGAGACGCCTCGCACTGCCGGCGTTTGTCCGTGGTTGAGACTCCAACTCGGGTGACCAAGGTTCATTGCGCGGGGCTACGCTAAGCAATGCACCACCACCTCCACCCCAAGTTCGTTTACGCGACTCCAAGTTCCCGTCCATGTACCTCGACTCCCCACTCATCATCTCCTCGCGGGCGGGTAAAGCACCTCCCCCCCTTCCACCAATGCAGCAATGGACAGAGACACGTTGCACTCTGTGCGTTGCTGACCTCCACGCAAGGTGTGTGGTGCACGGAGAACCCCGTGAACCACACACCGCCAGCGACGCGGCGGTGGCGGATCGCTTGAGATCATCGTGAGGTCATCGTGAGGTCATTGTGAGGTCATCGTGAGGTCATTGTGAGGTCATCGTGAGGTCATCGTGAGGTCTTTGTGAGGTCATCGTGAGGTCTTTGTGAGGTCATCGTGAGGTCATCGTGAGGTCATCTCGCGTCTCGCCCGGCTGGGGGCCTCGACGTCATCCGCGCAATGGGGTCCGGGGGTGCTTACCCCCCCCCCGTGTCCACCCCCCCCCGTGTCCACCCCCCCCCCAGTGTCCACCCCCCCCCCCAGCGTCCACCCCCCCTCCAGTGTCCACCCCCTCCCCCCCAGTGTCCACCCCCCCCCCAGGGGGAGCACTTTGTGTGTGTGGGGGGGGGGTTTCTAGTTCACCGGTGCTCCTGTATATGGGGAGGAGGGGGAGCGGTGGTGCAGCAGTTAGCCGCACTCCGGTGTTCGATTCCCTGGCAGCGGCGAACGTCAGTGGCGAGCGACGTGTGGGCCGGCCCGCACGAGACCAGCGTGGTGAAGTATGGCCGAGCAGGGCTCACCGCCAGGAGGCGGCGTGGCGGTGATGGGGGGAGGGGGGGTGCCTTCACCCAGCCTTGATATTGACACAGCGATGGAGTAGCTCACGATCCGCCTAAAGGGGCATTCAATTGCAAGCTCCCTATTGAACCGGTTGAGCGCTCTCCTTGACAAGGGCAAAGCAGTCCCGGGAGACCCGTCTGGTTTACCACTCAGCCAACGCAATGAGGTTATGGAAGGCTCCTGGAGACACTCATAGTCTAGACACGCACACCCTCGTGAGAATTCGGAAGCGACGCGAGGTTCCGTCTGTTCGGTACCTCCTGGACGGGAGACGACTGCCCGCACGGCCTACGGCGGGCGAGCAGATTTGAGCTGCGAGGTGGCCAGAAGATAGCAGCGCAGCAATGGATTCTTGAGGTTTGAGCGTTCCTCCAACACGTGGTAGGTCTGCTCCGGGTACTTTGTTTCCCTTGCACAATGAAGCCACGAATTAGTAAACACATTCCTGCGGAGGGAGCTGGTAGGAACGTTGGGTTGCTCGGTCAATGGCCAGGGTCAGCGGCGGCACCACGTGGTGTATTCCGCAAATATGCCCGACTGTGAGGGCGGGCACAAGCCGGCGTGAGTAAGTTAAACGTTGAGTTTTATAAGGGCACCACGGGGTGACCAGCCCCTCCCAACCCAGCCCCACCCCTCCCACCCCCCACCCAGCCCCACTCTCCCCACCCAGCACCAACCTCCCCACCCAGCCCCTCCCCACCCTCCCCTCCCCACCCAGCCCCTCCCTCCCCACCCAGCCCCTCCCCACCCTCCCCTCCCCACCCAGCCCCTCCCTCCCCACCCAGCCCCTCCCCACCCTCTCCTCCCCTCCCCACCCTCCCCTCCCCACCCAGCCCCTCCCTCCCCTCCCCTCTCCACCCAGCCCCACCCCTTCCATTTTATCCGGGTGTCCGGATACACAGTGAACAGACATCCACAGACATACACAATTAATCCCCTGCCTCCTGTGAATTAATCCCGGTTGGGCTTCCGGTCCACTACGGTTCCTACCAGTATTAAATTTTATATTGGCCAAAGATCCCTATTGTAATCGACAGTCAATATCAAATCCATAGCAATCAATCAGAAAGATGATGATCAGAAGGAAGATGACGAACGCTTGTGTTGCGATTGAAACGTCGTCGTTTTTTTGTTATTTTTTGTTATATTCTTTGAACCTACCTACGTGACTTTACCGAAAGACCCAAGAATATGAATTCCTGAAGTCACGAAAGCATTCAGTTAAGAGCAATTAACTGTTCATTGTTCAACCGGTTCACGTGCACGGTCGATCTGGTGGCGTGCAGGCGCCGACTTTAGCACCGGTATGAAGAAGCGCTCGCACTGAGCTCGAGCTCGAGAGATCTTCTTTAACGGCTGATCATGCTGGGCGTATTCCCCAGTGAAACGTCCAACGACATTGTGAACAAGTCGCTGCTTCCCTTTCAATGTGCAAGCGAGTTGGCTGAAAAACGACAATGTATGGGCACCTGAGCCGTGTGTGACAACTTCGTGTGTCTGGCCGCATCACGCGGCGGTCACTGACACCCTCGGAGCTCAGCTGTGGATCAGAACTTCGCCTTTCGTATTTGTCCATTAATAATTATAATTAGACTGTATATAACAGGATCATTCATGCAAGTGACAAATCCTGCTCTCCAACACACACCCGGCGGCGTGTTGTAACAGTAACAAATTGGCATGTTCTGTTTACGTGACAAACCTTCATACAAACAAAGTAATTGGCCGTGTCGGGCGGTAGCGGGTTTAACGATAAACATTTTTATGTTTACGCAATCTAACCACAAAAAACCTCTATTATGGATATACAATCCTAGATAAGAAAATTGCGAACCACATTACCAGATTGTTTCCCCCCCCCCCCCACACCTCCGATTAGCACGGCTAACCACGCTCGGCTAACCACGTACGGCTAACCACGCACGGCTAACCACGCGCGGCTAACCACGCTCGGCTAACCACGTACGGCTAACCACGCACGGCTAACCACGCGCGGCTAACCACGCTCGGCTAACCACGTACGGCTAACCACGCACGGCTAACCACGCGCGGCTAACCATGCGCGGCTAACCACGTACGGCTAACCACGTATGGCTAACCACGCTCGGCTAACCACGTACGGCTAACTACGTACGGCTAACTATGTACGGCTAACCACGTACGGCTAACCACGTACGGCTAACTATGTACGGCTAACCACGTACGGCTAACCACGTACGGCTAACCACGTACGGCTAACTATGTACGGCTAACCACGCGCGGCTAACCACGTACGGCTAACCACGTACGGCTAACTTTGTACCGCTAACCACGTACGGCTAACCACGTACGGCTAACTATGTACGGCTAACCACGTACGTCTAACCACGTACGGCTAACTATGTACGGCTAACCACGTACGGCTAACCACGTACGGCTAACTATGTACGGCTAACCACGTACGGCTAACCACGTACGGCTAACCACGCGCGGCTAACCACGCACGGCTAACTATGTACGGCTAACCACGTACGGCTAACCACGCGCGGCTAACCACGCACGGCTAACTACGCACGGCTAACCACGTACGGCTAACCACGTACGGCTAACTATGCACGGCTAACCACATACGGCTAACTATGCACGGCTAACTATGTACGGCCAACCACGCGCTGATAACTATGTACGGCTAACCACGCGCGGCTAACTATGTACGGCTAACCACGCACGGCTATGTACGGCTAACCACGCACTGCTAACTACGTACGGCTAACTATGTACGGCTAACCACGCGCGGCTAACCACGCGCTGCTAACTATGTACGGCTAACCACGCACGGCTAACTACGTAGGCTATGTATGGCTAACCACGCATGGCTAACCACGCACGGCTAACTATGTACGGCTAACCACGCACGGCTAACTACGTAGGCTATGTATGGCTAACCACGCATGGCTAACCACGCATGGCTAACCACGCACGGCTAACTACGTACGGCTAACCACGCGCGGCGTAAAACAATGACGCGCCAATGTGTGGCGGCCTTCACGCCGGCGTGAAGGCCGCCACACATTGCTTGAAGCCATTGGGAGTTTGACAGAGCGACTACTATGGGGGTGTTGTCACGTGCTGTGTGTTTTGTCGTAGGCCTTGCAGTGGGGAACTCTGCGTTAGGGTATCGTTCATTAACCACCAGCCGTGTGCCTTGTCTCCCACCTACCTCGCTGCTGCTGCTGCTACGCTCGCTCCCAGGCAACTACAAGAACCACAAGCTGACGCACAGCGGCGACAAGCAGTTCAAGTGCAAGGTGTGCAGCAAGGCGTTCCACCAGGTGTACAACCTCACGTTCCACATGCACACGCACACGGAGACCAAGCCCTTCACGTGCTCCTTCTGCGGCAAGGGCTTCTGTCGCAACTTCGACCTCAAGAAGCACGTGCGGAAGCTGCACGATAGCTCGTCCCACGCGCTCGCCACCATCGCTGCCGCCGTAATGCCCGAGGAGCAGGAGGATTCGTCAGAATAATCCGAATCTTTATTTAGACTGTCGTCCAATGACGCACACTTCCTGTTACAAATCATCTACGCCTTGAGTTTTCCTGGCTGGCTGCTGGCTGGGCTCCTGTCCGTCCCAGCACTCACCAGGTGGTTCGGGGCTGCTGCTGTGGGCCGAAAGGGGTATTTTTTTGAAACGTATTCTTCCGCGTGACAGATAAACATTGAGTTGAAACGGTGGAGGAAGATGCTCGGAAGGCTTCTCATGGGTAGCGACACCCACGAGGTGTGAGTAACGAAGACAGAAGACGGACGCGGTTCATTTAATATCGCTCTAACTTTTCAACGTACGCTCCTATTAGTCTAATTATTTCGCCAGACTATTCTAAGAAATCCCCGGGAATGTGTAAACAAAAACCCCATCACAATACATATTATCTTACCATTGTATTACACTAGTAGATAAAAGGACGATTACTTTTAGCGCTCCGAGTCCATGATTGTGAGAAGAGTGTGAAGACAACAACGGGGGCTCTCAAAACACCAACAAACGTATTTATCCATAATACAGCTCTTTAGGTTAGATCCCGTAAATATCTAAATGTGTCGTTTGACCCGCCACCACCCGACACAGCCAACTAGTAAGGGTTGTCACGTCAACAGAACGTGGCCAATTCGTCACTAGTACAGCACACCGGTGTGTTGGAGAGCCAAGCCACGACATTTACAATCTGAGTACGACGTTTCACCAGTAATTACAACTAGCTTCATCAGGCGACAGCCAGATTTGTGACGAATTGTCATGTTCAGTTGACGTGACAACCTTTATTAGTTGGCTGTGTCGGGTGGTGGCGGGTTTAACGACACATTTAGATATGTACTTGCTCTAACCCAAAATATCTTTATTATATGGATGGTGTTTCGCACCAATGTGTGAAGCACCAACTCTAGCTCCCTATATCCACCAGTGCCGGGCTGGCCCATACCACGAGAGGGAGCTCTAGAGTTTGGCCTACTCTTCCACGCTTGGCAAACATCTTAGGAAGAGGTTGGGGGTAACCCACATTTGACCCCACCACACGTGACCTACAGATATAACTAGTCGTGACAGCATTCAAAAAGAGCAGCAAATTGTGTGCCGGCGTCATGCTGCATATTTGCGAAATTACAAAGTTATTGTTTTACACCGCAAATTACTTAAATTGGGATGACGCGCGGCAGAAAACGTGGCCCGGTAGTGGCACAATGATTGCCCACGTGCAGGCCCCGTGCACAGGGAGAGCTGCCACTGGGGGTGCCATTGGCACGGCTGGGATGGGATGCGATTTTAAAGGCGCTGAGCGGTGCCGAAGCTTGCGCCATATAAACGCAAAGACGATTTGTTGTTGCTGATTGTTGTTTATTGTTGTAGTTTAACTTGGTGCGTGAATTCACTTGCGCTGCTGCCTCGTTGGCTCCACACGACCCGTGTGTGTGATAGTCACGTGGTTTAGACTTGTCAGCCCGGATAGTTTATGATATTTTCCACAGAGGTCACCAGTTCAAATGAATGAGGAGCGTTGCATCAAAGGTATTTGTGTATTTTATTGGTCGATTATATTGATGGTGTGTGGCGGCTAACAATGCCTCGAAGTTTCAAACTATTTGCAACTTTGTGTGTGTGTGTATATGTGTACATTATAATGATGTTACGAAGCGCAATGTGTATAATGGTGTAATGTATGATAATATTGTATCGTTACTTTGGAACATTGATCTTTCAGGCAGGAAGCAGTGTTCCTGTAGGCTCATGCGTGTCTAAGCAGACATCGACAAAGAACATCGATTGTTTAAACGTGAATCACTTAAATGATGACCTTTCCTCGTCTCGGGGCTGTTCGTCGCTGTACGGTACTTGATGATTTTTTAAAGCGCAAGCGTTATGTTACGGTGTCACCTGACACATTAACGATTGTACAGCACTTCAGACAATTATTGAACTCGTAGGCTTTCGCGACCAGTTATTATTCATAATGAAAGTTTTTGGGTGAGATCGCGTTATTATGAATGTGTCGCAACCCTCCACCACCCGACACGGCCAATCAGTAAAAAATGTGTCACGTTGACAAAACGCCAATGAGTTACTGCTTCAGCCCACCGGTGTGTTTGAAGAGCGAAACGTCGTACTACTCAAATTCTAAATATTGTGGATTCACTCTTCAAACAAACACCGGTGGGCTGAAAAAGTAATTGGCATTTTGTTAACGTGACACATTTTATACTGATTGGCCGTGTCGGGTGGTGGAGGTTTGCGACACATTTATAAATAACGCGATCTCACCCAAAAAACCTTTATTATGAATGATTGAACTATGACGGGTGCACGAGTTCCCATGGGTAAAGAGTGCAGCCTCCAACTGTTAGTCTGATATCTCTATCTCTGCTTTGAAGGAGGACTACTGACCGAAACGTCGCCTATTATATATACATGTGTAGTTGTCCACTTTATGGCGGTGTTTATGACGAACCTGAGTGTGATTGTGCGTATGCACCACTGCCAACGCAACAGCGTCACATGGTGTATGCTTTTAAAACGCACACACACACATCGACACATAGATGTATGCTTCATTACCTTGACTGAGTACATCTATGTACTCAACATTCTAGCCAAGCAGAGTACCAGCGTCAGTATTAATTGGTCACAGACTCCTCTGAAACATAGCTAATAGCTGCGTGGGCTTCACCCGGTAAATTCAATAGTTTAGTTGAAGCAGGCAATACACGTGTCCCTTATGTCTTGGCGTGTAAAAAGTCAACGTATCTTACGCATCTTATCAACCGCACAGCCTTCTGGGAGCGCAGATATAATTTCAGCAGGAATTATTTTAACAGAACATCTGGACCGGTTTCAGCAGTTCTCGTCTCATCAGCAGTGTCAGGCTTTCTTGGCCCGCAGTGCTGGTGAACTGCCCAGGTGGCGTTCACAGACAGACTATCCCGCTTCAGCAACTCGGATGCAAATAATGTCCCGCTGCATGCGCCTGATGATTACGAAACGCGTTCCATGTGACGTAGAGAGTGCTTTCACGACTCTATCGAACGCAAAAAAAGAACGCTAATTAATTAGTCGTACAGAGCGCTGCTTGAACCAACAGGAAGCGATGTCTCTCCATGACGCACGCCCCCCCCCCCGGCCAAGGACACGCGTGTGTCTTGATTTGAGTCGGCTGTCTGCACGTGGTGACGTGAGACACAGGAACTGCCCTGGACACCTGGGATCACCCAAGCAGGCCGAAGTCCATTTGTAGCTCAGTGTGCCCATTGAGAAAGTGTCACTACCGCTTTAAACAAATTATTATGACACTGGCGATGTTACTGCTGTTGTTGGCACTGGTGCTCAACAAAAAGCCCAACACGTCTGCCTATAACACTGTGGCCTTAAAAGAGAAAATATGTAGACAACGTTTCGGGCACTGGCCCTTCGTAGCACATAGAATATTTTATATTTTACGTGCCATGAAGAAAAGCCATTTCCGAAACTTTGCCTACTATATTTGTCTATTTAAAGGCCACATATTTTAACAGCTCTGTTTTAAGATTCGTGTAAATTCCGTGTTGCTAACGCGTTTACACAAAATCATTCTAACGCGTGCTCGTTCGGTGATTTTATTGCGTCAATTATTTAGCCCTTTGGTAAATTTGGGCCTTCTACCACCGTCTCCAACACCACTGTACTAATTCTAGATTTGAAGCTTTCGTGACTGCAAGGATTCATACTCTTTGGGTTTGTGGGTAAAGTCACGTAGGTAAAAAAATAAATAAAATAAATGAAAACAACTAAATTAAATCACGACGTTTCGGGTGCAACACAAGCGTCCTTCTTCGGGTGGGGAAAACGTAGTGAAAGCACAAACGCTTTAAGTGTTTGCGCCCGAAACGTCGTGATTTAATTTAGTTTTCATTTGTTATTTTTTTTTACCTACGTTACTTTACCGAAAAAACCGCTGTACTAACTTACAGTCTCCAACACCGCTGTACTAACTTACAGTCTCCACTAACGTACCGTCTCCACTAACGTACCGTCTCCAACACCGCTGTACTAACGCACGTGTCCTGTCACTGTGTGAGGTCACTCTGCTGTTCCCTCCCCACACCTCAGACACTGGCGACCTTCCTCGACTCCTCTCTGCAAAAGCCCCCCCCCCCCCCCGTTTTTGTGCAGCGTCTTTGAGCGAGAGACGCCGTGCAAATCTACATGGTGTCGTCACAATGCATTAAGATGTAACTTTTAAAGACACAACTGCACATGCATCTCGGCGAGGGTATTTTGCCCCGCAATGTTTTATTCGCAATGTCCACTGGGGTAGGGTGCAGTGCGAGGCACGCGTGGGGTAAAAGGCATTTCTTGTCCTCACGGAAACGACGCCATCGGCCCGCAACTAAAATTACTGCACCTGGGCAGGCAATCGAGACCAGGACAAAGAGACCCCATCACCACACACACACACTTGAACCTTATGGCGTGACCCCGGGGGCCCATAAGCGAACGACACGGCGATCTATTCCTCTCCACGAGCTCTAACATCAAAGTTTAAAAGTTTTGTTTCTTCTGCGCATTCGTTCTCGCTGCTACTGCTGCTGCTGCAGCGCGTGGACACGGCACGACACAACAGAACGAACCGCGCCAGGCGGGTCGCGGCGTTGATGTGCGCGGTGGGACGGAGCCGCCAAAAATGAATTAAATTTAATGACGATTTTGACTTCCGTTTATTCGGGACCCCGGGGTCCCCGCTATAAGGTTCAATTATATACAGCACGCAGGCTGTATTAATTGTACATAACAAGTCGGGATGGGCGCAATGTTTTCATTATGCCAGGAAGAAAACGTTTATACAAAAATGAGCACAACTCAAACGGCATGTAGAGACGTTCACAGGTTGTAAAAATGTTGTTAATAATGCATTGGAACAAAAAATATATAATTGTAAAGCTCTGGTACTTATTTATTAATAATGCTGTATAATGTGTGCTTACCCAAAATGTGCAGCCGAGCATATTTATATATAAATGCGTTAACACTCATTGTGGCCGAGGAACAAGTGTGTACGTGTTTTATTTATTTCGCAGAGATGATTAAACTTGCTATAACTGTCAAATCATGCTTGCACGTGAGACTTTGTTTAGGTGGTAGACGTTGTTCGTGATGGTGCCTGCAAATGGTTTTCGCGCAATTATACAACACACATTTTTTTGTTTGTTTTTGGGACAACATCGATCCCGCGACATTTTTGCAATAGAAACAAGTGCCAATCCGTTTTGTGTTTTATTACCAAATATTCTCTCTTGAAATATCCCAAAATAATTATTTAAGTACTGCGAGTACATTTTAGCCACGAATTGTAGACATTCACGTAATTGTGTTTGTTGCATTGAAATACAAATTTAAATAAACTCTCACCATTTATATCGTGATCAAAGTAAATTTAACTTCTAATTATTATTGACGTGCGAGTCTACACTCTTTCAGGATGGTTCTTTAAATGATTTTGCAGGAGTCGTCGATATTGCTGTTGACCTCATGCCAGACCCCCCCCCCCCCCATGCTCAAACGCATGCTAGACCTCGCGCTCACACGACGCTTGTGGTCCAGCATGGGGCG